CGGCTTCCAAAAGCCCCCCTTTGGCCCCGCCTTCCCCCCCCCCCGGTGTGGCAGGGGCCCTAGTTTTCTACATGCAAGGGAGGTGTTCTTCTGATCCTGTGGCAGTTCCTCTTCCCTTGAGAGGAACATCTGAAGGATAAGGCAGCCATGTTTTGCGAGTGGAATCCTCTTCTGTCCAATATTCCATCCACAACCATAACTCATTATTCATCCATCTGATTCCTCCATCCACACCCATTGTTACTAGTCCACTTGATTACTCAAAGTGCAGTCCCTGAGTAGCAACACACAGCTCAGGAAAACAACAATTACCCTGTGTTTCAGCCATTGCAGTGGGAATCAGCTGCCCCCCAGGGAGATGTTGCTTTGATTGGCTCTTCAGGGATACCCTCACAAGAGCCACCAGATACTTAACACCTATATTCAAGCTTTGGTGGGCACACCTGCCTATTCTTCATACCAATCAAACCCAGCACACAGCCCAGCAATGCCACAGCTGCACACTACTCAAAGACACGGGAAACAACTTCCAATATCTCCCAAAGCCTCACAAGGCTCTTCCTTGTGGTGAGCCTTCTGGATGGATAGAGCAGCCCTTTGAATGCTACTGAGGTAACTGAACATTTTATTATCTGGAAAGCAAAGGAGACTAAGGTGAGAAATTAAGTGACTGGCAACATCAAGGAAAACATACAGGCCACTTCCAGGCAATGTGGACAGATCATTAACAACTTTTGGGCAGAGACATTAAAAAATGGATGGCAGCACATGAAGATTATGTGATTTTCAGCTGCATTCGTGGTAAGAACTTATCTCATGCTTAAGCAAAAGACTCTGAATAGCTATCTTCCTCCCGTCAGTCCCTTCAAACTACATTCTTTCAAAGACATGCCATAGTTTGGAATTTGGCTGATTTTGCATTGGCTTTTCCCTCCGTTGTTTTATGAAACCCACATTGGAACAGAAATCCCCCTCTGCATTGCATGCTGGTTTCGCTTTAGTTGATTATCGGGTTTTATGAAAGCTTTCACATTCCATGCCACTTTCGAGTTCTTTTTTATTTTACCGTCTGCATAGATTAATGGCCGTTTTATGGCCGTTCAGGGGTGGCTTTGCAGTCAGTATGGTGTTGCGCCAAGATATTTGGATGTGGTTTGGAGCTGCACTTTTTCCTCCCGGCTGAGAAAATGTGGAGCAAATGCTACATGCAGAATTGCCCTTTGTTAGGTCTATCTCAGCCAATTCTCCTCTTCACTACAGCCCACGTGGATTTGTCCATTCCTGTCATGGGATCCCCAGCATAGCCTTTGTTGTTGGTCAAAGGAGATCATTCCTCTCTTTGTCACCAGCCTAAAAGCTGGCTGGATCCAACCCCATGTCAAGAACAAAACCCCACAACTTCTCCCTAAGTTCTTCAGTAACAGAAAACTGGCATACCCCCTCGTACCTAGGGGTTTGGTGAGCTCATCCTGTGCGTCAGTGAACCTGTCTTTCAGATCACTGATCCCACTAGACCGGTACTATCTGGTTTGAAGTACGGTGACTCTAAGAGTCTCAGGCAGAGAATAGTTCCCCAGCAACTGCTACCTCTCATCGCTCAACACAGAGGAATCTGTGCTTTTTGGCTTCTCTTGAATGTGTCTTATAATAGAAAATTAGAAGCTGTCATTTCCCAACAATCTCAAAATTATTGTCTGGAGAGAAAAAACACAAAGTTGGGTAGAAGGACATGGGGGAAATCTAGAAGGGTTACAATCCCACCACCACCTCCTACGACAAAATCCTACCAAGCTGTGATCACACACACTAAATAATCCACTTTCAATCCACTTTCAGTGTACTTTCCAACTGGGTTTTTCTTGTGTGAACCAGCAAAATCCCGTTGGAAAGCGCATTGAAAGTGGATTGAAAGTGGGTTATGTAGTGTGTGTGTTCGCAGCTACATGGTACTAGGTACTAAAAAGTACAGAGCAGATCACCAAATGGGCACAGAGAATCATCTGGCAAGGACTCAGCATTATGGCATTCTGAGACCTAAGCAGGTCTCAAGGCCAGGTTACTCATTCTTGTGCCCCCCATGTGACTGCTATGGGTCATGGCAATTAGATGTGCCATCGAATTCTGTGCTGAGAACTTATTTCCCAGGTATATGGGGGCCTGAGTCTAATAAGGACCAGAGCACATGAAGAGAGAGGACTTAAGCCTTCCCTACCACGCCATTTCCCCAACCAGAAATGGCCCCAGGTACACTTTCATTTGCCTTTGTGTGAAATCTTACATGTATTCACGACGACTGTTCCGAGCACACTACAATATCCTTAAGTCTAACTCATGGAAAGTATTGCAGGGGAAATTAGTTTAACTTGAATGAAGGGAAATAAGTTCTTTTTGGGGTTTAAAGCACACATGCCTGACTTCACAGGAGGTGCTTTACTAGAGCCCGGCTTGATGTGCTACCCTCAGCAGTACTTTATGGTAGATCTACCCGGACTCCCAAGCACCAGAGAATTTGCTCCTGCTTGTTAGAACAGGTGGAGTCGGCCGCCCATATTTTACTCCATTGTCCTATGTATGACGTAGAGAGACAGCAGCTGTTGATACCCCTTCTCTCACGGTTTAAACCCTTGGCTAACTACCTTACATATGCCGAGGAATGCTTGATGAAGTTCTTACTGGCCGATAATTATGATTCTGTCTCACGCAATGTTGCTAAATATTGTTACTTGGTAATTAAAAAACGCAGAATGTACTGTAACTTGAGCCATTAATGATGGAATTGACAGGTCTGACGTTTTAGAAATGATGGATGTAAGGATCCTATGTTGTAGACTCTGTGTAAAACTACTTTGGTTTATTGTGCTGGTCTCATGACTGTTCTTAATAAATGTTATGTTCATATGAGATTTCAAACAGCAGGTGCTTTTCAAACAGTTGTTAGATTCAGTGCTGTTTTTAACAGGAAACTGAACTTTTGTAGTTAAATTTGGTAGAATGGCGTGATCTGCATGAGTCAGGAAACAACATTCACAGCACATTCCGGGGGCCTGTTCCAAGTTCATTTCTCATAGTTCGTTTTTTAAATTGCTTTCGCTTCTGGGGAATAATCTCAGTCTGAAAAACACAGAAAGACTAGGACGAGGGACCTACTTAACACGCATGCTGAAGTTTCTTTTCAACCGGAAACACATTCAGATGACACTTGATATTACATTTTACAGTAATCACACTACTGTAAATTACATATTACATTAATTGCAGTAATTCCATGTCTGTCGCCTGTTTCCAGATGGTGTCGGCCAATGGGACCAGAGTGCAGGAATTCATTTTGCTGGGATTTGGAGTTGGACAACAGGGACGGTTCCTGCTCCTCATATTTTTCATTCTTCTGTATGTACTCAGTATGGCCGAGAACCTCACCATCATCGTACTGGTGGTCCTGGACACCCACTTGTCCCGGCTTCCCATGTACATCCTGCTGAGCAACTTCTCCTGGTTGGAGATCTGTTACGTCACTGCCACTGTGCC